TCCCCAATCCAGAAAGCAGATGTCTTGGAGGCTCCACAGCAGCCTGCAGAGAGTCACCGCTGTTCTCCCACCTCTGATAGGATTTCCATGGGGAGAAGGATGGCTGAGTTAGTGGTGGCCCGCGGGCCTGCTGCCGGGGCCTGTTCAGCCCCCCTTGGCCTCGGCTTCCTCATCTGTAAAATGGGGCCACGCAGCCCCCTTGGCAAATTCCTGTGAAGATGAGTTACAACCCTGGACACTGGCAGACAATAGGCGCTCCATCGTGTGGCACCTCCTCTTCATACCTACACCGTGCAAGCCATGTTAGAGGTAAACAAAACCCAAATGCACTCGCAGCCCCCCTAATGCCCTCCTCTTCCCTGACCCCCCAGTCCTTGTCCCCACTCAGATGTAATGCTTACAGACTTGCCATTTAGTTTAGAGCTAGTGTTGCAGTCTGGCTGTTTTTCCCTACTTAACCCCATAACATAAAATGCGTTCTATCCAACCACAGTATTTAATGTATTTCATTCAATTTAGTGAAAACTGAATGCCCCTCGTGCATGAGGCCCTGGCTTAGCATCTTCAAGGATTGTCACTTGTTAAACTTGATAACTTCTTAGGAGGTGAGCACCTTTATTATTCCCATTGTAAGATGAGAAAACCGGGGAGCAAAGGGGTTAAAGGGATTGCCCAAGACTCCCATGGTGGACAGCGGAGGTGGGACTCGAACCCAGAACCTGGGACTGGCTGAAGCCAAAGCCTTGCTCTCAGCCTCCCATTCTGCCTTCCCCAGAGCAGGCGTGGTCCCCTCCCTCATCCCTTAAAGCTTCCTGAGAGCTTTAAAGAGCTCTAAGACTTGGATTTTTAAAAGCTACGTGAATGTTTTCCAGATCATTTTGACCTCACTGTGGCTCTAAGGTAGGTCACAGCTGGTTGACGTTTTTTGCTACCATCCTGATTTTAATGATTCTGAACTGCCCCCATGGTCTGGATCTCTTCTCTATCTGGGACAGGCCCTTGTGTTCAGAGTTTCCCCTGCAGGTGAAAGATCAGAGTGAGATGTCATCTTTCCTCTCACCCTGCCCCAGTTCTATCCCACAAGCCCACTCCTGGGACAGCAGCAAGGAGGGGAGTCAGAACTCTCATGAGTCCACAAGCCACTGTTCCTGCCATGTTGTGAGGAGGAAGACGAGGCAGAGGGCAGGGCTGCTGCTTGGCCCATCTGAGTCTCAGACTCCCAGCCTCCTACAGGGCAGGGGCAACAACCTGGGCAGAGCCAGATTGTCTGCGATCAAATCCCAGCTTGGCCACGTGTTAGCTGTGCGACCTTAGGCAAGTCATTTGGCCTGGCGGTGCCTTAGTCTCCCCATCTGTAGAATAAAGATAATAGCAGGACTTTCCTCGTAAAATTATTGTGAGGGTTGAGGTCATGGCCTGGGAGCCATAGTGCTGTGTGTTTGCCACGATTCATGGCCTGACCCAGGGACACGGCCAGCTTCTCTCTTCCTCAGACAGAGGTTCTGCAGGTGCAACCGAGAAGAGCGGGTCGTGTCCCTGTGCTTCGCCTCTGGAGACCCCAAGCCATCTGGAGGCTGCTCTGGCTTCAGCGACATCTCACCACCAACACGGTTTCTGGTTCTGAATCAGACCTTGACCAGAGCCCATGGAGTCCGGCCTCCCACTCTCCCTCCTCAAGGCTCCGGTTTAGTTTCCTGTCATCACCAGCACAGTGTAAAAAGACGCCTGATTTGGACGCAAGTTGTGGCCTCAAAGCAGACTTCCTGTTGGTTCCCTTTCCTCTCCATGGGCTGAGCCTATGCATCCACGACAGAAAGCTTCTCTCAGTCCTGACCCCGTGGGCCTCACTATCACCCAGTCACAGCCCCCCTCCCACTGCCCTCTCTAGAAAGACCAGACTTCCGCATCTTGCTGTTTCCCGCCTCCATACCTTTCCTCATTCTTGAACTTCCTTCCATTTTCGTGCATTTGATCAGTGCCTACTTATCTTTCCAGACTTGCTTAGCTTAGGCATCACCTCTTTCTGCAAAACTTTCCTCAACCGCACTGTTGGTGGCCAGTGACAGAAAAATGCAAACCAAACTGGATGAAGCAATAAAGAGAATCTTTGCTCATGAAAATGTCAGCATGCAGGAAGTGTCAACAGGTAGGGCTCCAGGCACGGTTGGATCCAGGGGTCATAATTATGTTCTTTGCACTCAGATCTGGCCGTCTCTCAGTTCTGTTTTCCTCTGGGTTGGGGATTCTCACCTCAAAGCCAGAACACAAATCAGTGTAACTGGTTCAGAACACAGACCTGACACTATTGGGGTTCCAGTCCCCACTCTGCCACGTACTAGCTGAGTCATCCTGGGACGACAACTCAGCTTTCTCTGCCTCAGTTTCTTCACCTGTAAAATGGGCGTAATGTCAGTTGCTACTTCCTAGGGTTGTTGTGAGGATTAAACAAGTTAACTTCCCCGTGAAGTGCTTTGAACAATACCAGGATATGGTTAAGGGTTTTATAAGTGTTAGCTGTGACCAAAACTGCTGGATATTAACTTTCGCTTTTTACAATCAATCCTAGTTACACTTCTGGGGCTGAAATAGAATATAAGCGCCAATGGACCTTGGCAACATAAAAATAAAATCACCCAGACTGCAAACCTTAGGGAAGGGTCCCTCATTCCCTCACTTTCCATGGAGGGGCACCGGCCGATGTTGCCTAAAACAGACACATGAAGAAGCTGCAGTGTGTTTTTTAAAAGTTTAGTCCAGTTCCCTGACCAGTTTGGCTCAGTGGATAGAGCATCGGCCTGCGGACTGAGGGGTCCCGGGTTCGATTCCAGTCAAGGGCATGTACCTTGGTTGCGAGCACATCCCCAGTAGGGGGTGTGCAGGAGGCAGCTGATCGATGTTTCTCTCCCATCGATGTTTCTAACTCTCTATCCCTCTCCCTTCCTCTCTGTAAAAAAATCGATAAAATATATATATTTTTTAAAAAGTTTAGTCCAGAAAAACAAAAAGCAAACTTGGAGACTTTGGGGAAATAGAGGATTATTTTTCTCTTAAAATCATTGTCAACCATATGAATGTATTCCTTCCATGAGGAAAAAAAGTTTAACAACAAAATCTAAGGCCAAATAAATAAACATAGAGCTATAAAATGAATAGCAGTTGCTCTGTAGGCGCTGCCCTGGAAAGGAGCTCTCAACACATGACTTAGTATAAAACAAATTGCAGAATAATAGGTCCAGTGTGATCTGGGTTTGTAAAGAACAAAGAGTGTGTTGGGTATGCACATGTGGAGAAGGCACATGCTCAGTTATTGACGGTGCCAGCCCACCTCTGGTTAGTGAGAAAGAACAGACAAAGCAGAGAATCCACACTCCTGTACCGGTTGGAGCTCTTTTAACAGCGAGCATGCATTTCCTGTAAAGAGAAAATGTGTAAGTAAATAAAGGAACAAATTTGAGGCTAACGCGATGATATTTATTCCCAGCAGGAAGGAGCATGACACCCAGAATCACGGGGCCCACCTTTTCCCTCCCTTCTGCCCGGGTCTGGGTGGGAATTCCCTCTCTCACCCTGGGACTGGGGCAAAGGCCCCAGAGGGTGGGACAGTGGCCCCGATCCAGCTCCAGCTGGGCCTTCACATCCAGGTGGCCTCTGCCCAGGGGCTCCAAAAGCAAGGTTACTAGTAAAGTTATCCTGAGCAATTTCCTGGAGCAGCAATGAGCTGGCTGCCGGGATCAAGGAAGCCTTGTACTTAGCTGGCCCCACAGAAGGTTCTGGAACCGGAAGCACACAGGGCCAGGCTGGCCCAAACAAGGGGTCTCCTGTGTGTGGTAATATGAAGGGCATATGAGGGTGGTAGTATGAGGGTAACATGAGAGCCTCCTTTCGCAACAGGTCTCCAGTCATTCATTCGTTCACCCGTCCAATGTGTACTGCGCCCCTAACAGTAATGCCTGAATCCCTACAACTCTGCAGCACGGTCCCCCGCCCTCTCCCACCTTTTATATTAAACACATGTGATACCCTCTTTAATGCTCTGGAATGAACCCCATGAATGCTGTAACTTGCCCACACACATAACTTTTAAAAATATCCATATAGAATGCCCCAACTGTAATGTAAAGGAGGAATAAAAAGAACCTCGTGTAAAATAAAATCTGTTTGAACCTGTAAGTGCTCAGGCCCAGCTGCTCCCGAAGACACAGTGGAGCCGTCAGGAGCCGTGGCCCCCGCAAAGCCACCGTGAAGGTGGCAGCCACAGACATGCAGAGACGTGGGGTGCTGAGCGGAGACCAACAGGGTCACCGTCCCAAACTGTGAGCAGCTCTTGGCCTGTTCTGAATAAAGTAAATATGGGCTTCTCTCGCTTTTGTCCTCAGCGCCACCCCTGGAAAATTCAGTGTATATTCAAACTGTGCAAAAGCGCTTTATATTTATGTGCAAAGCAGAGCGAAGGTATAGACCCCTGTAATGATAAACATCTCTTTTTTCCCCCAAATATATTTTATTGATTTTCTACAGAGAGGAGGGGAGAGGGATAGAGAGTTAGAAACATTGATGAGAGCGAAACATCGATCAGCTGCCTCTTGCACGCCTCCTACTGGGGATGTGCCCGCAACCAAGGTACATGCCCTTGACCGGAATCGAGCCTGAGACCCTTGAGTCCGCAGGCCGATGCTCTATCCGCTGAGCCAAACTGGTTAGGGCTGATAAACATCTCTTCTTCCCTATGTGATGTCCAGCAGGACACAGGAGAGTCACGTGGATCATGGGACAGTTCTCACTGGTCAGGACCTTCCCACCCTCTGCTCATCACCTGCCTTCCCCATCCCACTGTCTCCTACATATGGTGGCACTCCCCACCTGCCCCCAGCTTTGTGACAATCCAAAAGGCCCCCATCCATTTCCAGGACATCCCTGGGGGCAGTGCCACCCAATTAGATGCATCATCTAATCATCAACAAGTTGTTGTAACAGGTACTCATATGATCCCCATTTTACAGATGAGGAAACTGAAGCGCCCAGGTAGGAGTGGCTGGGCCAGGACTCTCATCTGAGGTTAAGTCCATCCAGTTGGCTGCACTGCCTTCCTCCTGTCCGTCAGTCCTGGGCTGGTACCGAGGACCCAAATATGAAAAAGACATCCCTCCTGGGGGCAGCAACACCTGGACCCCTCCCTACCCGGCATGGTGAGGAAGTGGATAGAGGAATGTGTGGAGTGCAGTGGACATGCAGCAGAGGACTGCTCACAGATGAAGAGCTCCACGGGTAAGGAGGTGGAGGAACCATGAGGAACAGCATTCTGGGCAGGGGGTGGGGTGGGGAACAGCATGGGTAAAGGCTCAGAGGGCAGGGGAGCGTGAATGCTCCTTGCAAGAGGCTTAGGGTGGTGACGGGGACATAGGCCTGGGCCAGCGGCCTGTGATGTCTTTGGGAAGCATCTGGGAGGCCCAGGGAAACGGTGTGGTTGTAACTGAGTAGGCAATGGGGAGCCACGGGAGGCTTTAGAGCAGGGCAGCTACATGACAGTGTTGGTTTTAGAACACTCCCAGGGAGCAGGGAAGAGGTTGAACTAGAGGGTGGGACCAGTGAGGAGGTGTCTCAACAGCCCAGACCAGGGTTGGAGGTGGGAACGTGATGACAGAACCATTTCAGAGGCGGGATTCTCAGCCCCATGACCGATGGTCTGTGGGGCCCGGTGAGGAGGAGCCTCAAGTGCCCTGGGGAAGCAGGTGATGAATGGCTGGAGGAGAAACAAGTTCGAGCCCAACTGTGGTCTGAATCGGGACACTTTGATTTTGAACTCGTTCTCCCCATGCACCTCTCCACCTGCTGCTCCCTCACCTGGAATGGTCTCCGGGATTTCACCGTGGCCTCAGCTGTTAAATGTCTCCTCCCGAGAAAGGCCACTCGGCCACTGTGTGGAGCAGCCGCCCTCTGCTTTCCTGTCCTCGCACTCTGCTGGTTCCCCTGTAACACGCATCCCAGCTGGTAATTGGTACTGCTGTTGACCTGCTTGTCCTCTGTTACCCATAGAGAGCCAGGATCCTCCCTATCTGGGGTCACTTCTATGTCTCCGGGGCCTAGCAATGCGCCTGGCACATAGCAGGGCCTTGACAATGTTTGTTGAATGAATACATGAGAGACCAGAGCAGAGGACCATCATGGGAGAAATGCCCAGGAACACTCATGCCCCCGCTGCTGCTGGAAAGCCACCATTTGGTCTCTTTGCTTTGATGTCAGCCCTGCCCCCTCCTCATCTCAAGATCCTCTTTAAAGTCACAGAGGGGGAGGGGGATATTGGCCCTTAGCTCTGAGCCACCAGCTAGGAAGGGATGTGTCAGGCTCTTATGGAAGCCTGGGGTAGGGGTCTCTGTGGACCTTTCCCCATTTGCTACAAGAGGGCAGTGAGAGGAGCTCCCTCCATCCCTGCTGTGTGTGTGTGTGTGTGTGTGTGTGTGTGTGTGTGTGTGTGAGAGAGAGAGAGAGAGGGAGAAGCTGGAGTCAGGAGCCGGGTCTTTCCTGGAAGCCAGAGGCAGGATGCCAGAGGCAGGCTTTGTTTCCCAAGCAATTCCCAGGCCCAGGGGAGTGAGCCTCAGGCCTGAGCTCAGTAGGTCTGAGATGCACCTGCTGTCCAGCCCTGTGCTGCTCAGGGTCCTGCTGGCCCAGCCCGAACCCCCCTTTTCCTCCCCACAGAGCTCACGAAGGGGTTGTCTGCCTCGATAATAAAAGTCATGCCGTGCCTTCCGTTGTGTCCCTTAATTCTCACGCTGATGGGCACCGCCACCAGCTCTGTTCCACAGATGGGGAACTGTGACATGCATGGGAGGCTGTGACTCCCCCAAGGATGAGAGTAGGCAGAGGTAACTCACGTGCTCTTAGTCATCAGCAGCATGCCTCGTCATCACCATCCGAGCCCCACGTTCGGGCATCCCCTGCCTAGCGCGCCATCACTCTGCCAGGGGGAGCTGGCCCGGTGGGGGCCCTTTGTCCCTGAACGGTGCACCCTACCCTGGAGCCTCTGAGAGCCTTGCTCCCATATTACAAGCACTCACAGGAGGGTCTGCCTCTTTCTCCCTATCTCCTTGGGCAGGAAACTCAGCCAGGAGAAAGATAAGGAGAAAAGAAAGGAGGGGGAGGCCTCTGTGGAGCCAGGGCTACTACCTCCCACACATAAGGCAGAAGAATAGAAGGAAATGGCCAGAGAGAGGCAAGTGTCGGTGGTGGAGGGGGCAGGGGGTTATCGGCTATAAATAACCCATCTCCAGGATTCCAGGAGAGGGACAGAAGGGCTTGAGGCCAGAGGTCTGGTCTCTGTGGCTGGGAGTGGGGGCAGTTGTCATTAGGGTTGGCCTGGGTTTCAGATCAAAGGGCCAACAGAGGGTAATGGCATGACCCAGGACCCTCCCCCTGGCCTCCTGCTTGAGGTAGATGCTTGAGCCTTATAGTTGGCCAAGCAGGTTGTGCATTCTTGCATCTTCCATGCATTCTTGAAGCCATCCATCTACCCACCTATTCAATCAGTCATCCCTCCAACCGTTCGTTCACTGCCTCCCATCTATCCATCTACCCAGCCTGCCTCCCCCTGCCTCTGAGCTTTTCCATTTGCTGTTCCTTCTCTCCACAATGCTCTTCCTTTCCAATTCTCCTTGCTAACTAGTCCTTTAGGAGCTGATAGCCTCTCTGATTCTCTGGATATTTTCCTTATGGTGGCAAGATAGCTGTCATACTTCCAACCTTACATGGTTGAAAGCAGAAAGGAAGGTGGGGGTTGGGCTTGATTTGGTGAGCCAATCAACAGCGCCTGCCACAAGAGATTAGAAAACTCTGGAATGTCTTCTATTTTTACCCCCCCCCCCTTTAAATCATCTACAAGCCACTAAGTACTATTCATTTTAATTCCACAAAATCCTTTCAGTTGTCCCTTGCTTGTCATCCCTTTTGTGCGGCCTTTGTCAGGACTAAGCCACAAAATAGCCTCCTAAATGGTCTTTCAGGTGCCTGTCAATCCCCCTTCATCCAGCGAAATCCGCCGAATCCCTGTGCTGTGGCAGGCACTGATCTAGGCACTTGGGATATTTGATGAACAAAACAACAAGTCTTGCTCTCATGGAGCTTATATTCTCACAGGAGGAGAGCAGTGGTAAACAATAACTGTAACAAATAAGGATGTTTCTAGATGTGGGTGGTGATTATACTATAGGTCAGGATCAGGGAGATCAGAGGGGATGGTATGATTTTAAATTTGGTGGCTGTTATGGGTTGAATGGTGTCACCCCCAAAATTTCATTCATTGAAGTCAATATGCCCACCCCCATACCTGAGGATGTGGCCTCATTGTAGTTCCTTTAGTTAAAATAAGGTCATACTGAGTAGGGTGGGCCCACACCGGGTCATTATGAATAAAAGGACAATTTGGACATATGTGTAGGGAGAATGTCATATGAAGAAGATGGCAGGAATCTATCAGAGATGCCAGCAAAGCACCAGAAGCTAGCGGGGAGCATGGAACAGATCCTCCTCCCCACAGCCCTCAGAAGGAACCAGCCCTGGCCTCCGGCCTCTAGAACTGAGACCATCACGTTTTGTTGGGTAAGCCATCCAGGTTGCATCACTTTCTTATGGCAGCCTAGGAAACAAGAATCAGATCGGCCTCATCGAGAAGATGGCTCTGAATGACGGTGTGAAGTGAGGGTATCTGGGGGAAGAGCACACCAGGCAGAGGCAAGCCCTTGCCTGAAGTGTTTGAATTAGAGCCAGGAGGCCAGAGTGTAGTAAGTGTAGGGCACAGAGTTCTAGGAGAGGAAATGAGAGAGGTGATTGGCTGACGGGTAGATCAGGTAGGGACTCGGGCCATTGAAAATAGACTTTGTGTTGTTTTTTTTAATTGTACATGTTCATTTATTTTTATTTTCATTTTTAGACAGAGAGAGAGAGAGAGAGGAGAGAGAGAGAGAGAGAGAGAGAGAGAGAGAGAGAGAGAGAGAAACATTAATGTGAGAGAGAAACATCGATCAGTTGCCTCCCATATGTGCCTTGACCAGGGATCCAACCCAAAACCTAGGTATGTGCCCTAACCAGGAATTGAACCCACAGTCTTTTGGTGCATGGGGCTCTACTCCCTCCAACCGAGCCAACCGGCCAAGACAAATAGACTTGGGCTTTTACTCAGCATGAGGTGGAGCCATCAGAGAGTTTTGAGCTGGAAAGTGGAATGATCTGGCTTACGGTTGCTGCACAAGAGACTTGGGGTGGGGGAGGTAATGGGAGAGGAAGCAGAAAGTTAGGGGCTATTACAACAGCCCAGGCAAAAGATGACAATGTCTTGGATGAGGGTGGTGGTGATGGTGATGGGGAGAAGCAGCTGGATTCCAGGCGTATTTTGAAAGTTCAGCTAACAGGATTTCCTGACAGGTCAGAGTTAGGGGGTGAAAGAGATGAGTCAAGCATGACGTCAGGGTTTTTGGCCTGAGCAACTGGAAGGATGGAGTTGCCATCAACTGGAGAGAGGAGGCCACGGCTCTTCCTCCTTCTTGCTGGTTTGGGGGAAGGTGTGGAAGATCAAGAGTTCAGTTCTGGACCTTTACAACAGGGGTGGAGAACGTAAGCCCCGAGGCCATAGTGGCCCACAAAATCATTTGGTTTGGCCCTGCCAAGGCATTAGGGGTACTTTAATTAAATGTTGGTCCAAATATAGCAGGCTAATTTTTAAGTTGATAATTTTGTATGGCCCTTGAATGATGTTATAAATATCCAAATGGCCCTTGGCAGAAAAAAAGGTTCCCCACCCCCACTTTACAAGTTCCAACTCCTGTTCATCTTCAAAACAGCTGCCAGAGTGATGATTCTTTAAAAAGGAAACAAACAAATGAATGAAAAAAATAAACAAACAAAAACCCTAGTTGGCTAAGGCATGACATCCCAACTCTTCAGCACGGGTGGAGGCGTCTTTAATAAAATCTGCCCAAACACATCTCCCCAACACTTTCCCCTCAACCCCCTCCATGCTCCAGTGAGCCCCTTGCAATTCATTTACCCACTCATTCATTCAATCAGTCAGCATTTGTTAAGCATTTACTCTGCCAGACACTGAGTTAGACATCAAGGCTACAGCTCTCCTGGAGCTCACTATTACCTACACTCTCACATTCTCCCATACCCCAGTACCTTTGCACAAGCTGTCATTTGCCTCAAATCACAGTCACTCTCTTTCTCCTACTCCTATTCACCTTCTAAGTCCCAGTCCTCTCCTCTGGGGCACC